CAGATTCTCCACACCATAACTTACAGTACACTGGTGTCAGTAAAAATATATCACTTTCTAAGTTATATGTATTAATCATATCCTCAAATGCCCAAAGCTTATACTGCACAGTTTCTATGACTTGGCGTAAAGTAAATGTAACAGAAGTAATATCCCGCATGCCGTCATTTAAAATGAGTATAAAGTTTTTTTCCGGTACAACTTCATAAAATTATCAAGTACATATTTACTAATCGATATTTACATGGTTTACACATCTTCATTTTAATATATTTATTTCTACGAAAGTATATGCTTTTTGAAATAATTATTGTTTGCGATTCATTGTTGCAACAACGCCCAACAGTGGCCGAGCGGTTAAGTCGCTGAACACTGAGTTCGGTCCGAGGTTCGAATCCCTCGAACAGGCTGGCTGCATGGGCGTTTTCGTGGTTTTTTCCATGTGTAACGTGTATACGAGCCAGTTTCCCGTAGAAAGTCCTCCACGAAGGCATCCCTCCCGTTAGGCAGATAGCCCTCGAGGCTTTGCCATAACCCCCTCCCACACACACATTCTTGCGACAAAAATTCTTAAATTTTTTTCATAATCATTTAAATTGATAAAGGCTTCGGTATTTAGTTTACAATCTTTCTTAAACATGTAAATTTTAATTCGCATAACATTTGAAGATCACATCGTAGTTTCAGTTTTACTTTGCAATTCTTTCCGAAGGATTAAATGTGTAAATCTTTGCCATTTTACGCAGGTTATATAGTACTACGTTTAACATTTGCCTTTGAGTGCATTTTTATTCATAATGGTAGTTATATTTATTTTCTTTTAACACATTTGCACGTTTCTGATTCCAAAACGATGAAAAAGAAACATTTGTTATTTTTGATGTACAATCTAATATATGTATTTTACCGTAATAACTAAAGTTTTTACTGGAAAACAAAAATATAATTTTTATTTTTATTTTATAACCTGTAAAATTTTAGGAAATATTTTTTTAACCATTCGAAAACGCTTGGTATACGTGCTAAAGGAAAATTCGCCTGAATTTCAAATAAAATCTAATCCATTTATATCAAACTTTTTCCGTTTTTAAACTTTCTGAATTAGCTACCCATAGTGGTTAGGGGAGCCGACTGCGATACCAAAGTTCCTGGGTTCGAATCCCGGAGAAGGCATGGTTGTAGCTGTCCGTCCCTTCATAGGAGACAAAGGTAGCCCACCTATTAGGTGCCTCTATAATAAAGTGCCACCACTTCTGGCCTTAGTAGTGGCCAAGCCAAAGTAGGCTGATTGTCCATCATTGGAAAGGAAACAAAATTTCTGAATTAAAATGCATAAAACGTTTCAGTTTCAAACATCCTAAATCAAACAACATATTTAAAACTCATTTGATGGTAGGAATCAGATACAAAGTTGCCTGAGTCACTAAGGTAACATGTTTTAAGTTAACGGAATCTCATAATTGTAAATTGGACTATTTTTGGAAAAATAATTTTAAAAATCGCACACAACTTTTATACAGTCTTTTTGATTTTGTTCATTCCATAAAAATTTCTTTTATTTTTGATAAAAGCAGTCAGTGACTTGTAATTCGGTTGAAGAAGAATTACTTTTATTCTTATATGCATATCCAACATATTGGTCTTAATAGTACGGAAAGATCGATGAATAGAATAAATGGCTCTTCTTTCCAATACGGATTATTAAAATGTATTTAAAATGGATTCAGAAGAGATTTTTTTCGGGTCGACTTACATATGTATAGATCTCCGCATAGCTCAAAATCGAGTAGCCTGAGAAAGTTTAATTTTTGCATATAGCATGTAGTTGTGCAACTCTCTTTTTGGTTGCAATCGGCCACACGTGATTGAATTATGTTGTTCTTATGCCTCGGTTAAAGTTTTTATGTCTTTAGTTAATCTGCATGCAATAATTGCAGAATTACCAATAATTTAAATGTTGTTTAAGGGGTACTAAGCCTAACGAAGCCTTGTTAACATTTGAAATTCTTAGTAGAATAGTGAATTAAGACATTTTGTGCACCAACATCAATGACGTTTGCCCAGTAAGGCCAAAAGTAAACTTTCAGTTTTGTGCACTGAAAAATCTGTCTTTTTGCCCGCTGCACAAACTGCTTGTTTTTGCGTAAAAGCTAATTTTAATTGCAATTTTTTTTTTTTTTTTTTTTTTTTTTTTTTTTTTTTTTTTTTTAATTTACTTGGTGTTTTTTGTTTTCCTGCATTTTGCAATTTTTAATGAAGATGTTTTAAGTTTTCATGTATTTTTGCCTTGCGCGAAGTGAGAAGGGAATTAATTGAATGAGAAATATGTCTATAATGAAATTCGAGGAAACAAGTTTAAATGAAATGCAACAAAAAATGTGTATAATTTAATAGGCCATACAAGGAAGCTATGTAGTGTCCACATTAGATTGTTTTTTAATGGCTTAAAGGTAGCAATACTTTTAGCTAAAATATGTAAATAATGTTCACGTTATTATTTCGAATTGAATGGCTATAATATATATAGTGTTCCAGTAAAAATTTTCGTAAGTTTGAATGGCATGATGTAAAGCAATTAAACTTGGAATGTTTCCTCGCTTTTCTCAGAAAAATAACATTCAGATCGTATGATAAGCAAAATACATCCTTTGTCAGAAAAGTTCCAGGACAATTGCTTTTTTTTTTGTTTTGTTTTTGTTTTTGTTTTTGCAATACTAAAAAGGAACAATTGTTGTTTTAATGTTACCTGGTATGTATTCTTACTTAACATAACCTTGTCCATGTTTCCACGCAAACTTACTAGGTGGTAGGGCTGTGCTTAGCAACATACTGTTTGGATTGTTGTTGCATTCGTTAAGGTAACACAATGAATGCTGATTGTGAGCAAAGAGTTAACATTAAGTTCTGTGTTAAGTTCGGGAAAACCCCTAGTGAAATGTGGAATACGATTAAGCAAGCATATGCAGGCGAGGGAGTTTTCAAGAAGTCATGTTTTCGAGTAGCCCAAAAAGTTTTATGAAGGCAGAGATTTAGTGCAAGACGATTCCAGAACTAGTCGCCCTTCTATAGCACATACCAATGCAAATGTGGAGCTTGTAAGATAGTAGTTGCAATAAGACTGTTGTGTAACTGTGCGTATGATATCAGAATTGAATTTGAATCGTGATGCGTGTCATACGATTTTACGCAAAGATTTAGAGAAACGGAAACTTAATGCAAGAATCGTCCCTCACTCACTAACATATGAACAGAAAGAGGAAAGACGGAGAATTTCTGATGAACTATTGGATAGAATCAAACGTGATCCCCCATTTGTGTAAAAGATTATTGTGATTTTTTCTTGTTTCCGTGAGTGAAAAAGAGACTGAAAGGAAAACTCCATCAAGATTATTGCAGACTTCCAACGAGCTGTGACAAATGAGCTTGCAAGCGGCGTAGTTGAAGATTTCCTTGCTTGCTTTCAAGACCTTCAGAAACGTTGGCAGTTGTGTATAGATAGCCAAGGGGACTACTTTGATAGCAGCTACTTGGTAAATACAGTTTTCTATTTTTTACAACCTCCGTCCTGGAACTTTTCTAACAAAGGATGTATATAGCCCACAGAAATAACATACGTTAATTGCAATTTTATTTCCCTAAACTTGCGAACTCGCTGGAAGACTAGATCATTGCTGTAACAAAACGAATCGTCATTCATTGAGGATACAGATAGAAAGAAATACTGGAGATTACGGAACAATAAAGAGAAGAAAACATCATTTTATAAAATAGTTCCGCCATTCGTATCCGCCACGTCATTACGACTACAGTTTTTAAATCAGAAGAAATACACTTCAATATAAAATCTTAAACTAGCCCTCTCCCACCGAAAAAAAGGCGAACTCAAACAAGAAAAGATTGTAAATAAAACTCTGTTTAGATCGAGGAGTATCAGACATGAATTCCTTTTCTTCAGGAATGAAAACTTGTTTTTTTTATTTTAAAATTCAATTCCTTTATCAGGCTGCCTGTATAGCACTGTTACAAGAACCACACATAAAAAATGAACATCCCCCAGACACACCAGCAATACTTCATTTCAGCCCAATTTACTGTCTTAGTCTTAATCCAATATGGATATTTGTTTACTTCGTTTCGTGCAAATGCTGCCAGTCAAAGTAGGAGGATGTCTTCGTGGAGCACAATGTGAAATTTCCTTGTATTCACATTACACATGAAAAACATTACAAACAATCCCTGTAACCAGCCCCATTCCACCAATATTTACAAGCATCCGAACAATATTTACTTTACATACCTGACTAAAGAACTTCTAAATTTCTTTAAGTAGAAAAGTTTCACACATTTATGGGAAAAAATTCAATTATCTCGCATTCTACTTGATTGAAATCGATAATTAACAAGCAAAGATAAAGTTTGATTATAAATTTAATTAAGCTTTGTTTGTAAACTATTGGTTTTTTATTGCCAGCAAGTAGTTTAAATTCTTGAAATAGGAGAAATGTTGGTATTTTAAATAATGGCGAATATATTAGCCAACCTGTTAAAAGGTTAAGAACTTAGCTTTTCTATTCATTATCCGTAGACAGATTACTTTCTTAAATGCAAATTCTGCTGAAGTGTTTTCTTCGTAAAACTCAGAGGCATTTATTATGATTACGCGAATAAGTTTCTTAAGCTGAGTTTTTATCTATGAAGTTATTTTTATATCCAGTTTCGAACCAGACCTGAACTTGCATTTTTCTCATATATCTTCGTTTATTATAAATTTGTTTATCATTATTATTACTTCTTTGCTGTCAATTTAATTAACTTTTTTTCTTACTTCGTACAATATTTGCAAACACTTAATAAATATTTGTCAAAATGAATCTCAAAGGATTGTTCCTTGAAGATGTAATTTAAAAAATCGATTTTATCTTTAAATCATCAAATTTATTGTGCTTTCATTGCTACTTTGCCATCTCTGTAAGTTATATGACGTTATGTTTTTATTTCAGCACTCAAAAACCTGTGGACTTCGTGGTACCAAGTGCACCGGCTACCAACGCCCCTCCTAGTCCTGTAGACCCCCCAGCTGTGACAGCATCTTCTCTTGAGAGTGCCGGCGCACTGTGCACCAAGCTATCCCTTCTAGAAGCAGGTAAGCTTCTTTTGCTGTGCGTTCAAATTATCTAAGTACACACCGCTTTTAAATGAATTATTTTGCTTAAAAGAAATGGATGAAGATCTCTTGCAGTGCTTAGGATGATATTGCACAAAAGATTTGCTTGGAAAGATCATATAAACAGAGTGAAGCGTAGGTTTTAACCAAGATTGAGCCCAAAGTCTGGCTTTGCGAGGAAACGTCGTATCTTTTTTGCTATTGTTTTTCAGTTATTATTAAATAATAACTGAACAAACTATAGTAAAGAAGGAGTAATAGCATACCCAGTTCGGTTTCCATCTCCGAGAGAGAGAGAACTGAAGCCACTTCAAGTGCTTCAAAATACATTTTTGAGGATTTTTAAGAAGCATCATACTTCATATGGAACTCAGATTTTCAAAGCGACCTTGCTGTGGAACTTCTGGGGAATTTTCTTGACAGATCAATAATTTTTTATGCCATTAACCATTAGCAGAATCTCCATAACGAGGTACTGTTGGTCGACTGTCAGCTCAGATATAAGCTACACACCTAATCGGAGGTCTCACCATCTAAATCCTCGTTTACGCTACAGTATATTAACTTCTTCAAGAGCGGACAAAGGAATTAAATTATTCCATATACTTCTTTTAATGCCATATACGTTGTTTTTCATACATCATTACTCCTCATATTCCAGCTCTCCTGTTGGCTTAAGGAATCCAAATTCAGGAAATTTCATTCACGTCCTTAAATGGTTCCATTGAGATAGATAAAAATGCACTTTTTGCGGTAATCTTAGTATAAGAACTATGTATCAAAGTATCTCTAACAGTGGGAATGTTAAAAGCTTGTGCTCACTGATTATGCCCAAACTCTGCGTAATTACAGAGGAACTTCATGTAAATAGGTAAGTAGTGAAGGGATGTGAAAATGTGCACTTCTTAAGAAAAAGCGACGAAAAGTAAGAATAAATATAATAATACACTCCTTTGAAAAAAATAGGAAAAAAAACCTATCAAGAAAATTAATGATTTTATTGAAATTAAATATGCGTAAAACTCATATACAGGTAATGAAAGAGTTTAAATTTCAAGGCCATAGGGCCCACAAGGGGCTAGCAATTTCACTCTCAATGTTAAAATTAGTAATTAAAAAAAAAAAAAAAAAAAAAAAAAAAAAACTTGGTTGCGACGTATACTTGTAAGCTCTGAGGTAAACATTGTTAAAGATTCTTAATCTCATCATCAAATACATTCTGCAAGGTATTCCTAAATTGTTGCTGCAGGTCTGCGACATCTAGGGATGTGCAGATCTGGTCCATACAAGTTCGATTGGCGAAAGGTGTTGCGACATTGTTAGCCTAGGAAGAGTATCAGTAGTTCGAAGACAGTCCTGAAACATGTGAGCCGCATGGGATCTAGCAGTATGCTGTTGAATAATGGCTCCAGGATTGCGTACCATGAAGGGTAACCCAAACGTTTGCTGGATATCTTCATCATATCGTTTAGCTGTTAAAGTTGTAAGCAAAATCACTAGGGTCGCACTCCTGTTGTAAGAGATTACGCCATCACTCGAAGAGCAATGGCTGAGTGCCCCTGTAAAGTTTTTGCTAAAATACTGTATTTTTAATAGAGTACTTATTTACTCCATAGAATTTTCATTGTCCTATGGCCCATCTGTACCTTTAATTATCTGTATCTGAGCTTTACGCACATATAATATCAATAAAAAAAACAGACACTTTCTTCATAGTGACTTTCTTTCTTTCTTTTCCTTTTAAAAATGAGTGTATTTTGGAAATATGTTTTGTTTACTGGTAAAATTATTATTCAAAAACATTGATTTTTGGGTATAGGTTTGGAAATGCCGTATGAATCTTAGAGTAGCTAACAAAGTGAGTTTTGTTAAGATTTAACATTAAATGATAATTCCACTGGTCAGAATTTCAAAAATTTTACAACTTTTCAGTATTTTTTACATGGTTTAACGAAATCAGTAGATTTGTAAAGCAGTAGAACTAGAGAAAATATAATTTATAATACAGCAAAAAGATTTTTATACTTATCCCATTGCAAAAGTTTTGTTTAAATTAATTAACTGGATTTGAATTTAAATTTAAGTAGCATTTTCAGAAATATGCACCATAATAATGCATTATCTTATCTAAAATCGTTGATACATTAGAAATGCTCCAGCTAAAAACTGCACTTCAGCAATACGCTGTCGATCGATTTTTTAGCAATATGTGCAACTCGGTAACAGTCTAAATTTTATGTCTTAGGTACTTACGTTTTGTGGAAAAATTAGAATGAATATCACGATTTACTATTGTGAAACTTAATACAAAACTGCATTTTAAAGGAAATCATGCATTTAATTTTTTTATCTTGTTGCTGAATTCATTAATAAATGAACAATTTTCAAACTAGAAGTTTAAAATTATTTTATTCTGAGTGATTGTAAATACCTGAAACCGAAAAGAGAAGTAAAACGGAAAGAAAACCCCGTTTAAATATTTCGTCATTTTTTTAATTTGCAAGGGATAACCACTAAGTATCCCCATGAAGGCGAATGAAATATGTATATTCAGCAGATAATACGTATATACAATCTAGTTGTTTCATTTTAATGTATTTTTAAAGCTAGGAATTATAACCATCCCTAAATGTTCTTTATCTGCTATGTAATCACTTTGGCCAAAATTATTTTCATAACACTGATGTTAGCCGCAAAAAATTCATATGAACTATGTGCCCTCGAAGTACACTTACCTCGAAGAACAAAGCATAAAGTTATTCTTGACCTCTCAGGTATATACTGCAATATACTGCATTAAATATCTCAACAATATACTGCATTAAAGAATCAAAACACATTGTTTTCTAAATGCTAATAGCACATGATGTTAATTTTGAGCTTTGAAGTGAGTGCTTCAATTTCTTTGGGTGAAATTCATTATGGTTGTAAAAGGAAATAAATAAATATCAAATGATGTAATAAAATAGGATTTACTATCTACCACTATACTAATTACTCGCTGTTTAATAACAGAATTTTTTCCTAAGTGTTGATGCAGATGAATTTAACTGCTGATAAAAAAATTGTTGAATGTTGGTTCAGGTTTTTTTGTTAGATAATAGCAAATGTGACTCCTAGAAGATGAAGAGATGATTTTCAACGCTCTTGCGCTATCATATCGCTTAAAGCAGAACAGGCTGTTTTCTTTAGTGTTTGTCTCTCTCGCCTTTCGAAATAATTTAAGACGAGTATCCCAGTTGTCTGAAGACTTCTTCCTGGTAACCAAAGTGTTACCCGAAAAAACCTGAAACCACTTAAACCTTTAATGATATGTATGCAGCTAATTAGTGAGTGCAATCGACAAGCGATTGCGACAACACTAAGAGCAATGTTTATTTCAACAGCTGGAAGGTCAATACTTTGCAGCATACTCTTCATACGTGTTCGAATACTACAAGTTTGAGTCCCTTTAAGCATCAAAGCGTAAGAAGTACTTTTGAATTAATATGAGAATAGTAAAGTAGTTGAATAGCACAATGCATTGTTCGTGAAAGTAGTCAAGATTTGCCCTGGCATCTGATAACAAGTATGGGATGATCCAGAGAGAAAGAGCATAGGAAAAATTCATTAACTTTGTTGTGGGCTGAATTTTGAGCTTATTGCTTCGATATGCATATCTTCACAGGCAGCACAGATAGCTGAAAAGTAACGGGATGAAATCATTGAGAGCATTATGAAACTGTACGCTGCAGCAGTTAGTTCGGCATTATTTTTATGGACAATAATGCCGATCCACATAGAGCTAAGCTGATGTATGAATGCTTCGAGAGAGAAAGCACTGCTCGTATGAAGTGGTCATTATATTTTACAAGCCTCAACCCCATTGAAATCTTTGGAATGCTGATAGACATACAGTCCCTTCCCGTATATTCCCGCAAATATACTCAAAGAGTTGAAAAGTGCTGCATAAGCGAAATGGCAATTATCGGTTTCACGATTTAATTGAAATCATAAAAGAAGAGATCATATCTCTCATTAAAATAAGTTTCGCTTGTTTGCTTAGCTTACAATTTTTTTAAAGAATTAACAAAATGTTATGTGTAATGTAAATGTTTTCAAATTTATCTGAATATATTTTGTTAATTAAATTTTTAGTCGTGAATATATAATAGAATTGCTGACCTTCATGAGAAGTTTTGAGTCAATTATTGCATAACTTTTCCAGTTAAATCAGATTTACTTTCTGTGATTAACTTTTGAAAATTGCTGCTTGATTCATTGTAAGCTTTAAACGAGAAAACTTAGAATTCAAAGATTTAAAAGCTAAAATTGATTAAAGTTTTTCTTGCTTTTTAAATAGCTTTTAATCTTTATTTTTTCAGGACCAACATTGCTTGGAGGATTAAATCCAGATTTGTATAAGTCCATTCCTGAAATAGCTCCAGAAGAAGAAAACTTTCCTGAAGGCCATCGAGGTCGACTGTGGTTCGCCCTCGAGTATGACGTCACAACTGAAAGACTTATTGTTCGCGTCATCAAAGCCAAAAATTTACCAAGTCGTGTCTATGGAGCAGCGAACTGTTGCGACCCATTTGTAAGGTAATTTTTTTTTCTAACCCTTTTTTGATAAATTTCTTTGTAAGTTAATCATTAAATAACTGCATTTAATATCTCATTCCTTCAATAATATTTTACTAAAAACTAAAAATATAATTTAAAAGATTTTTTATTAAATAAACTTAGATGGATGTGATAATTAATGCACTGAAAGGGGAAAAAATAACTTGCCATATAGTTTAACTAGAAAAATAGATTAAGTATTTCTATTTACAGAATTCACGTACAATTTTACATCACGAATAATAAAAGCTTGGAGGATCCATGATAAATTAAAAAAGATAATGGTTTATACATTTCACGATCGATTAAATTACTATATTCCGTTTAGGTAATCCACGCTGTTATTATTCGCAATATAAAGTTGTACGTGTATTCTGTAAACAGAATTATTTAATATAATTTTGCCATTAAAGTATACGATTTTTTTTCCATGCCATCCTTTGCCATTAAAGTATATGATTTTTATATGAATTATTTCTTTTTCCTTTTAGTGCATTAATTATCATACCCATTTTATATAAAAGCTAATTGTATAAGAACTATTTTTTAATTCTATTTCAGTTTCTGTTTTTTAGGCTCAGTTGCACGTTATCAATTATGAATCATTGATAAATTAATGATTATCAACAATGAATTTGCACGTTATCAGTTTTTAGCCATAATTAAAATACAAGAAGTTAATTATAAGAATATGAAATAAAAAAGATAACTGAGCGTCATTCATACAATGAAGAAATCGCTTCGAATATTCAGTTTCGGAAATTAGATGTAATAACAATGTCACAACAAGCATTTTCTTGAAACTAAATTGAAAAAAAAAAATGTATGTCGCCAATTATCCATTAATGTGCGAAGATTGCAAACTCAAAAACGCTTTATTTTCTAGTTTGCTTTAGACTGCAACACATTAAAAAATGTAGAACAACGCTAAGTTAATACCTTTTTTTTTTATCATTCTTGTTTTAAAGGAGGTAAAAAGTTTTTTTTTATATATAATCTGCGAAAAATTCGAAATTTTACATCTGATACAATTTTAGGTTTGAAATTTTAAAACCATATACGTCAAATAGTCTAAAAAATCAAGGAATTTTCGAAACTTTTACAAAAATTCAGAAATTAAGTTAAAATTCTCATACAAGAGTCATTGAAAAGAATTTTGTTCTGCCGCATTTGATAGTTATTTATGTTCGTTAAACAAAGATATATGCGAAAAAAGTTTTTATTAAGTGTTCAATAAAAAATTAATAAAAAATAATAATATAATAATAAAAAACCTAAATCGAATTTTGAAAAATTTGCTTTAACACACTGCCTTGCCATCGACAAATACTGTGTATACAAAATTTAAACTCGATAGCTTTGGAGGAAATATGCTAAAAATCGATCACAAAATTTCACCCACAGTGAAAATCCGTTAGTGAACTGATTAAAACCTTATAATAATCATCATTTACCAGAGATTTTAATGGTAGTGAAGGTTTCAAACGGAAAGAAAGTTATGTAAATAATAGAGCAAAAGTTCAATGAATGCTATATTTCGTCAGTCATTGAATATTTCCTTTTTTAGAAGTTTCTGCCATTAGCTTCACAAAATAACATTCGGTTTAAATATTTCACTCACATCAATATTCAGTGAGTGCAAAGAATTTAAATTTGGAATTTTTTGAAGCATTTTTAGAAGTAATTTAGTGACTCAGACAATATTAATCTGGTAAGTTATATTTTCTTTAACTTTCTAAAATTTCTTCAGGAGACTTAAATTCCGAAGTTTTGTTGGAAGAATTATCTGAAAGAACATGAAATTTAAATAAAATAAAAGTCAGTCATGTTAAACCTGTTTTTGTGTATATTACATAAAAAATATAAACAAATGTTAATGACGAAAAAAATATTTATTAATTATAATTTTTTTTAATTTATAAATTTCTCCCATGCATTTATAGTACGTAACATAATCAGTAAAACAAAAAACATGATCAGTAAAAAATTTGTAATAATTTAGGTTTTATTATGCGTAAAAAATAAAACATTTCAAGAATAAATGTAAAAATAAATACAAATAAAATAGGTTAGGTTAGGTTATTTAATTACGGCAAAGCCTCGAGGGATATCTGCCTAAGGGGAGGGATGCCTTCGTGGAGGACTTTCTAAGGGAAACTGGCTCGTATACACGTTACACATGGGGAAAACCACGAAAACAACCATGCAGCCAGCCCGTTCGCGGGATTCGAACCTCGGACCGAACTACCAGTGTTCAGCGACTTTACCGCTCGGCCGCTGGTGGGAGAAATAAAATCGTATTTATAGTAATGAATTCTTTAGTTGTGTGATGTATCAAATAGTTTTAATATTCATATTCAAATTTTAAATTTTTTGCCTATGAGCCAAAGCTTACTTTTCGCTCATGTACAATCTATGCAGGTATGTGGAAAGTTCCATTACTGTGTCGAAAGAAAGGCCAGGTTAAGTTTGTAACGGACATATGGATAAAGTAGAAAGGCAATTTACTTCAAGGTAAATGACTCAAAGTTCTGTGAAAGATAAACTATCTTCGCAACCGTTAAATTTATATCTTTTCATTAATTGCTTTTAATGCAAATGGTGTTTAAAAACGTACTTTGACAACTGGTAGTAATTCTAGTTTGAAAAGCGTCGCCATATTAAACAGGATAGCAATAAATTATTTTCTTAGGATTTCAGAAGGACGTTTTATTTCTCGAGCAGCGCGAGATACTTCATTTTCGATTAGACAAGGAATCAAAGAATCTCTTAAAACGGAATCTCTTTAAAAGGTCGTATCTGTTCTCATTTTCGTTTAGTTCTTGCAACGGTAGTGATTATTTAAAGCACGTTGTTGAAACTTAAAACGTTTGTGATTTATTTCATTTATCAAAACTGTTGCAAAGATCACACCGAGTTTTGAACAAAAAGTGTACATCAAGACATTTTTATATTTCTCCCAGTCCATATTAATTTAAGAATCAGATTTACAATTCTACTAATTGTGAAATTGACTATTCAGTACATACTGAAAACTTTAATTTAATACATTTTTTAAAGTTTTCCTAGCCTATTAACGCAAGCGATTCTTAAATTCAAGAGAGAATCGGTTAACTGAATCAATTCGCATAACAATGTATAGCCCGAATGTCAGACGAGCTGAATTTTAAAATTTTATCTTAATTTCTCTAATAAAATTATTGGGCCTAAAAATGTGGATAAATAGTAAAAGCAGTTATAATATATAACGCGTTTTTTATTCAAATTTTGCTTTTTCACGAAAACTAATTTTGATACTACGTATTTTGCTCATATGAAACTCACGAAAAACAAATAAAGCGCAGAAGCTTAGCATCCACTTTCGAGATTGAGCTTTTGATGTGAGAATCGTTTAATTTTATTGAATATTAACTGAATAAAATTCGAGTTCAAATTTAGGGTTAGAAAGAATTTCTTAGAAAGAAGAATCTTCATTAGAAAGAATTTCTAACTGCAGAACAGAACTTTGAGTCTACCACGCTCATAGAAAGATGCACCAGGAAGCGTTTAACAAGTATTTCTGATTATCAAAATTTAGTAAACCTAATTATGGACGTTGATGTTGATATTTCTTTCCCCTTACTTAAATCCTCTTCATTTGATCCCTGGAAATTGGTGAACTAATGAATTAATTACTAATCGCATAAGGATTTAATTTAAATGCAGAGTATAAATTACCTATAAAGAGTACCAGTATCCACTTTTACCCTTTTCGTACAGACTGTATTGAGTAGAAATATTAATTCATAATATAAAAGTGGATTCCTGAACGTACTAGTGAAAATTTGAGCAGCAGAAATTTTCTCTCGTTTGTAATCTTTCTGCATCAAATTAATTGCTATCTAAAAACGAAAGAGTGTATTTTTGGGTTAATCGAAACATATAATTTAAAATATTACATTAAAGAAGGAAATAAAGAGCAGGGGGTTTAATTACTTGTTTTTCACTTAATTTAAATATCAGGACGCATTTCGAACAAAATTTGAACAGATTCTGATATCACATTGCTTCAAATGTCTTTTGTTTTCAAAGAACTCATACGCTTCAAGATATGTTTTCTGATAATGAAACTAATACTTTATCAATCATTAAATTACATTCTACATTAATTTACAAAGAAACTGTAATTAGCATGTAGTTAATTTACTTGATAATATAAAAATCCAGCTACTATCAAATAAAGTATAATTATTTAAGCATGATTTTCATTGTTAAAATATTTATTTTAGAGCAGGGCAAATATTAGTCGCTAGATAATATATTCATTGCAAACCATAATGTTAAGATTTGTTTTCTAAAAGATACCAATATTAAAGTAAAGTACATGACATTTCTAGTATCATATCTTGCAAGGAAAATTGTTTCTTTTCCCTGTGTTAATCGTTATTCGTTTGGTTTCCAGAATTTACTTGATGCCAGATGAAAGACGTTATTTGCAGTCCAGACCAAAAAAGAAGACATGCAATCCTAAATTCGATGAAACATTTCTCTTTCAGGTGATTATTTATACATACTTCACTTAAAGATTTATAATAATAATTTAAGTTTTCTAAGCATATGAGTGAACATCATTCAAAGTAACTATTACTCCATAAAAATTTAAGTAACAAATTTGAAAAGCTTCAGGAATACTTGTAAAACAAATGGTTGATTTAAAAAGTATTGTTACAGGCTACAGAATGAGATTAGTCGATAAATCTTGCTGTGAGCTACTACTTATCCGTTACTAATCAATTTTGCGGCTATGCGCCGATGATCGTAAAAGATGGATGATCCAAAAATGTCTGCGTAATGTTTCAGTCAATGCAAGGGTTCCGTAAACAAAATGAGAACTTTTCGTAGTTTATAAATAAAAGATGTACAATGCATCCTTTAAAATAAAGTTTAATGAAAATAACAATAATTTATGTAAATTATTTACTGACTCAAACCCTTTATTACTTGTTTTTCTTTGAACGAGAATGAGACAGCTATTTTCACATTCCTCCAAACAATATGATGAATATTGTACAATATTATGGCTTCATTACATATGAAGTGAATTTATTCACTCATATAGTCTAATAGATTTTTAATGCATTTTATAGTTTCTCCTTAGCTGTCCTTGGTATTTCATTTTTTCTGCGCTCCAAGTCCTAGCTTCTTTTACGTCATCGCATTAAGATCAATCCTTTCATCAGACCGAGATTGCTTTGATTTGATTAAATCCTATATTTGTCGATCTTGCCTTTCTGTATCCACACTTCTGTTTTGTTGAAGAATATTTTAACTTTGAATAGCACAAATAATTTCGGTGAATATTGATGCTGTTGTCTCTTCATCGAATAATAACAGACAGTATGGGGAAGATTAGCCGCCTTCACAAGACTAGAACCTAGCCGCCTTCCCAAGACTAGAACCACCGTTCAGGCTCGACAGGGACTGTAAGGATACTGTCAAGTCTGATTTCAAGCTGTGTGATCGCTAGATGTTTTTTAGAATTATTAGGTATCAGAGTATTCAATGCTGTATGGCTTTTGCCAGGTCGGAAGTTGTGGTACTGGTGTATTGTCTCTTCATCAATAGAATCTTCGTCCTTTGTTATATCGAAGATCAGCCTTTCCACCCGCGATTTACAGCTAAACATTCGATTTCATTTTCTGTCTTAGCAGCGGTATTCACTGTTATCGAAAAACTTTGAAATTCTTCAAAAAATTTGTAAGGTTCTCTTCTTTAAGTACTAGTATGAAGAGTTTTGTATAGAAAAAAAAAGGAAATTGCATGACATAAGTGAATATTGCATTGGGTATGATTATATGGCTATATTCTCCCATTAATACACATATATTCTCAAAAGAAGACATGAGAAATATCATGATTTCAGTTTCAAGTAAACCTTTCTGTAAAAAAAACCATAACGTAAAAATAAATAAAAAAATAAATAAAAATTCTGTAATTTTACTTCTAAAGTTGCTGATATTCTGTAACTGAGTGATCAAATAAATAATGAAGTATAGTTTAGCTACTAAAATATATAAAAATTATCCCTCTTAAGTGTAAATAAGGAGCTTGTGAGGAATCATTTCACTCTTTACATGTTCAAAGCCTTCAACATATATAAGACTTTATCCTTTGAGACAATATAATAATGAATAGATTTTCTGTAAACTTGACTTCTGCAAACTATTATTTCTGGAAAGCAATTGTATTCAAACTAATTTTTTTCTTTAAAATTGCCTTATAGGGAAGCGGAATTTTCTCATATGAAAAAATCTGATGTTGACACCACATAACGTCCTTATACAGTCTATGACATTTTTTGCTACCTTCAATGAAACTTATTTCCTCAAATTATTGGGACTTAAATAATCGATCCCTCAAGGCAAGTTGAAAATGACATCAAAAATCACAAATTAGTTAAATATCTCGGTCAATTTTTATTGTACGGGAGTCAAACTTCTTATATTTTTATTTTTCAATAACAAGTATAAAACTCTCCCAATTATAAGTATAGGAACCGGGAGACCGCATTAAAAGTTAGATTGCATTGTGTGCTCATTAATGTTATTATTATTAGTATTTGACATTGCCGAAACATGAATGTTTTCGTCAAATCCTTGCAATTGAAATTGTATGACTACGATTAACAATTGCAAAAATATAGGCCGTGGAAGAACTTTTAAGCTGGTAATAGGGGTGGGTGGGAGGATATATATATATATACTTTTGCTATTGCCGATTGCAGTGAAAACGAGAGCTGCACAATTACATATTATGTCAGTCCTATATATAAAATACAGCGTTTTAAGGGTAATCCTTTTTGAGTTAAACGACATACATATTTACGTACGTTCTGACGTCCCAGAAATATCCATTTTGAATCCATTTTATAATCCATAATATGGTTTGGAATAAAGAGGCCTTTATTCTGTCCATACGTACAGACGTCACTCAGCAAGTAGTCAAAATGGATATTTCTGAAATCGAAATTTTTCGCGACTGCAATACTTCCTTTGCTTAGCCACAAGGAAGTAACAATAAATAATTTAATATTCCCTAAGCAAAGTGCGGGAAGCAATACTTACGGTAATATTTGACAAAATAAATTTAAGGGATTTATTGGAAAAAATAATGCAAATTTAGCAATAAAATAATAAAATAATAAAGAATTATAGAACTAATATTACTCAAATTTGATTCAGGTATAAGTGTTATGTCCACAAGCTGGTTTGAATGATACCATTTAAATCAAAATATTTTTTTGACATCGAAGTTTTAAACTCGATTAAACTGCTTGCTTTTCTGGATATTATTATTTTTTCATGACAGTTTTTTCATCCAAAAGGATCTAATTTAATGTATTCCGTTTAGAAGTTAAATTAATATAAAACTTTTTCAAACTATAACATATGCACATACTATTAACTCCATTTAATTTTAAACCTGAAATTATTTGCATTGATTATTAGTCCAAAGGGATTTGAATCCCGAAGGACTATTAAGTTTCGTTTTGGCATTTTGCGTCGGACGGATAAATGTCGGTTCACTTTTCAAACTGTTGCCATAAAATGTTAGAGTCCTGCATTATATTTGAAGAAATTAAATAATGAAAATCTGAGTAAATGTATGTATATTTCTCACATTGTCATAAAATAACGGTACATAGAGTCATCGAATTTTGAATAACGTAATCCTCCAACGAATATGAGCATGTGGAAGACCAAATTTGAAATTTGAAATTTGTTTTATGATCGATTTCCTATTTTTTAAAAGCTTTGACGAATTTTTTGATTAACAAACTCAAGGATTTCAAAGTGAGCAATGGCAACGTTGTGTGCAGAAAAAAAACACCTTTTATCTCCAGCGCGTGAGTCTCTGTATCGGAAATTCTAAAGATATGCTCGTTTTAAAACTATTTTGCGATATTGCTGTTGCACTGGATCTTATGGTTTAAGTGCGAGGAACATGATATTTAATAAAGAAAGGTAACACACAAAATGTTAAAAAACGCCCCTTTGGACGTAATTTAAAATCTGAAACATTTCAGATTTTTTTTTTTTATATTTTGAATTTTTATGTTTTTATTCGTTTTACCAAGTGTTTCGAAGGCGTGTAGGGAAACTCCTGGTGGATATGATATTCGAGTTTTCGGTTTTATATGAATTTTGGTATCTTAAATGAAAATTTAATAGATTTTTTTTTAGTTTATAAGAAAGAAGAGTATATGGGAAAGATTAAAAGAATTTTTTCTTTTGCGCGTAATTCTCGAAAGTCAAATTTTACACTATTGCCATAATTAATCAATGAATTACTTTGATTCTTTCTTATGTAGCTTCCAAGTCGTTCTATGTCAGAAAGAACTCTGAAGTTCACAGTTTTTGACAACGACAGAGGTAAGCACCATAACCCAATCGGGCACGTCCTGATTCCGCTTGAGGAGTTCTTTGAATCTGAGCAGAATGATAAAGTGCAGTGGAGAGATTTGGAAAAAAAAGAGACTCAGGTAATAATATCCTGCTTAAGTATTCAAGAATTAATTCAAAATAATGAATATATCGATATGAAATTCTTTCACCTCAAATATGCTTTGGAAATAAACATTGAAAATGGTAACTGCCGAAATCCACTTCTTAGAAAGGATTTATTAAAACCAATAGAAATGTTTTCTCTTCGGTGAAAAGTTACAAGCCATAGATTTTCATTTTAATTAGTATTCTGGTTAATTATTCAATTGCAGCAGATGATTAAAGATAATGCTTGTCACAATGTAAATTGGTCTTCGAAAGCAAAATATCTAGTATTCTACTAAGGCAAAGATTTATTTAAATCAGCGTCTTTCAGTCTGTCTACAGTTGCATAGTATTTGACAACGCAACTCCATAACTTAAGCTCATTTCTATTAAAATTTACTTGTAATTAGTACATTTGTTGTTGCTTCCAAATCAAAGGCTTTATCTATAAATAAATTGCTAAATAGTGGAATTAATAAAAAAGCAATGGAATAATGATGTTAATAGACATTCCATGCAAATTAATATTCGATATTAATATTCGATATTTGAAAAATGCGGGAAAGAAAAGAAAATTTTCTAAGATTATATTAGCAAGTGACTTTGCAAAAATTAAACGCTACAGTTAGCAGTAGCAGCTGAACAACGGTAAGCAGTAATAGCTGTACACTAAGCAGTAGCAGCAGTAAGCAGTAGTAGCTAAAAACTATATAAAAACTATATTTTCTTCCTATTTTCCGCATGCCTTCACCACCAGGATTTGGCGGCTGTATACCCTAATCCCCTGTCGCTTTTTAATAGGTATAATAAGGTATGTTCTCCATCCTTTCCGCATGCCTTCGTGGTGTAATTGGAAGCATAACCGACGCGTATTCGAGAGGTCCAGGGTTCGAGTCCCGGCAAGGGCATTGCACATTTTTTACTCCTTCTGCTTCAAAAAAAAAACCTAATGATTGTACAACTACAATAAGCAGTAGTAGCTGAAACTAAACATTACAGCAAAGAGTAGTAGATGAATAGCATAAGCAGTAGTAGTTTGAAAACTAAATGCTACAATAAACAACAGTAGATAAAAAAAACAGTAAACAGTAGTAGTTGAGTAGCAGAAGCAGTAGTAGCTGAAAACTAAACACTAGAGTAAACAGTAGTAGATGAAAACTAAGCACTACAGTAAGCAGTAGTAGCTAAATACGATTCCAGATAGATCTGTATTTTAGTTGAACCACTCAATGCAGTATATTTATTAAAGCATAACGGTTGTTATTTAATTATTAACAGACAAAAAATTTTAAGCACAAATTCATTACATATAGTAAATGCGATGAACCTCTTTGAAATATTGCCCACCCGTAACAGAATGATAAAATCGCTAAACACTAGTAATTCGGCCCGAATTCAAGTACCCAAAATATTTTGTTAAATTTAATTCACTAACATTTACAGGTTTTCCTCCAAAATAAATTTCACTTAATTATAAATTAAATGTACGATTCATTCATGATTTTTTTCATTCAATTCGTTAAAATTACATTCATATCCCGAAGACTGAGAAATTCGAATGACATCCGCGTTATTTTAATATCAATGTAAGTTCTTCTCCGTTTCTTAAATTTCGAAAGTTTTTCCTGTTTAAAATAAATTGACTCTCTGTCTGTTTACTCTCATTTTAATCATAAAAATTTTCTTGAAAATTCATGTGGAATAGTTCTAATTCTTGAAAAGCTCATCGCTTTGGGATAGTCATTGAGCTATGCACAGCTGAAAAGCATTCTTTTGCATTAATGAAAAGGCAATGCTTCCTATATCTCGCATTTTTCCGACGCGGAACTCGAGCTGGAATTTCACCTCTGGTCCCTTTTAATCTTTTCATTGTTCGAAAAATTATCTATTCGCACGAATTCGAAATCTGCAGCTGAGAAATATTTGCATTATGCGATCCTTTCCGGCAGCATCTGCTTTCATTCAAATTCCTTTCTTGCTTACGCACTGTTGTAAATAATTCTATTAAAGTTATATAAAGAAAAACAATCTTTATTATGCTAATCTGTATTGATATAATTTTAAATAACATTTTAATTTCCCAGTTCATTTCAGAAAGTTGATCAATTATTATTTACCTTACATTAGATTATTTGATTTATAAAATAGTTAATGCCCTTTTGCTTTTGTTGTATTTTAGTTTTTTTAGTTTTTAATAGGTGTGAAATCCTTTTGTAACTTACTTAAAAAAGAAATTAATTCTTAATATAAACAAACTGCAGATTTTTCTGCTTAATCTATTTGCAAATGGATGGCTTTATTGGCACAGATACAGCAGCTATTACTGAATGCATCACTTTCGAATTATGAGCGAGATATATGTTATCAGTATTAATATTCTGCTGGAAATTATTTTTTTGAGCATAAGTTATTTTAATTCTACAGAAAGTACGTATTCCAAATCTGCTACTATATCTAATAAGAATTAATTTTAAAAATGCATCTCTGCATTTATAGCGCTTAAGGAATAAAATTATTTAGCTAATTCTTTTCAAATATTTTATTTTTGCGAAATAAAAAAACTTCTACTTATTTCTTAAGCGTTTACGTGTATTTCTTTGTGTAAATGTAATTATTTAGAATGCAGTCACGCATTAGCTTTTTAGGTGCAGGAAAAATATGAAAAATTAACTGTGCTTTTTCCGGGATTCCGATTACAGATCTTCCAGTTGCCAGATGTATATGTCAGTTGTCCACTTACACCATGAGAGCACGCACAAGGGAATGCAATAATTATTTACAAGAGATCGCTTTTTCTTTTACTTTAAAAATGTTTAAAACTGGCATTAAATACGATGAGACCAGAAACAAAAATGTGACTTCCAGAAGGATATAAGATAGGACGTTTAAAAATTTATCGGTGATAAACGGAATAACGGTGATATATGATTTTAGGATTTTTTGTTAATTTTTTTGAAATTATACTGTAAGCAACCAAGATTCAAGCTAAATTTTGAAATTGGTACCACTCACTAGGAACAATCAAACTGATTTACACATTCAGATATCAAGACCGGCAGTAGAGTTCGAAAATTTCGATTAAGAATCCAATCGATTGATTTAGTTTCGAAGACATAGCTTAAGTGAAGTTAGCGTTTTAGCTAAATAATATGACCAGACGCTCACTTCATAATTTTTTGTGAAAATTCCAAATAATAAAGAATTCTTTAAAATTTCAAATAATAATGCATTAGTAATTGGCTTCAAAATAATTTTTAACATTTTGTTTCTTGCCAAAGTATTAATGTTTCTAAAACTACCTTGCCTTCCTTCCCTTAAAAATTACTAAATTTATCTGAAAGTGAAAAAAAAAAACTTTAAAATATATTTTGTTTTATTGCTGCATAAAATAAATTAGAATGTCCTCTTTCCAAAAGAATACTGCATTGCTAAATTTAATTTTAATATTCGCTATTATGCAAGCAAAATTTACCAGTCAATACATATATAAAGCATAAATACATGGTATATTTTTCAACTAATGTAGCATGATTTTGTTGTACAAATTTTCTTGAAAGAGATCAATGACATCATCTGACAATTATTCCACGATCATCTATTATTGGTAAGAAAATTTTGGCTCTGTTAATTACGGCTAGCCCTCATTTAACATATAAAAGAGGTGATTCAGCTGACGCTGACTGAGAGAGGGAAATTATATGTAACCCTCCTTCTTTAAATCGCTAAGGTGGTGACAATTATTGGTAGATTTCACTAACTTTTAAGTTTGAATTAAATCCCATTACATATTTTTGGCTCATGTCACAGTATTCTTTCATAAAAGGCAGTTGAAAATTTTGTGGTACTGGAAATCATTCAAAAAATGACTTTAATCTGAACTACAGCTATATAATCTTATCATTCACGTTGTATTACTGAGGAATCAGTTCTGGCTGATTCATGCAATAATTTAGTTACTAGCCGTATCGTTTGTATGTGCTTTTAAGTTAGAGATAGTTTAGTTGACCAGGTGTTTTTTTTCTTTGCCGTTTGAAACGTCGTGTGTAATTAACTGATATCTTAGTTTCTAGGACCAATAATCTCGTCTTGTAATACTTTTTAATATGACAATTGTTTTAAAAATTTCAGTTTTAATCTAGCAAAAGCAGCTAAATAAATTTAAATTTTATTTTAATAGAGTTCTTGTTTTGTATTGACAGATAAATAGTGTTAAGGACGATAACTCAACAGGTTAAGATAATTCCGTGTGTGTTAACCTTTAAGTTAAATATCCAATTAAATCAATTTCGAACCACAGAAGTTATAGGGGAGAAAGCAGTTGGAAACAATGGATTAATTCTCTCTGAATTAGAAAGAAGTCAACTTATTTAAACACCTGATACCCTATTCTTCTTTACTGCAAAAGCATGACAGAAATATTAGTTAATCGATGTTCACCATTGACTAAAAGCGTTTTCTCTTTAGCAACATTTGTCGATCACAGCTAAAGTTATTATCAGATAAACCTCCTAAAAATATCATAAAGCAAGAACTTCTCTCTCGATTAGTTTATTCTCCGTGTTTCTTCGAATTCTTATGCAGTTCGATAGGCAATGTTAGACTTTGGTCAAACTGCCATTGCATCTGTATATAATACAGAGAACTCACAGTTAAATTACCCCTATAGAAATCAACATTAATTAAATATAAGCATTTCCAATCCGAAGTAATATGTATCATCGCACAGCTTTAAAAAATAGTTCACACGTGAAGAAATGTCATTAGGATGTTATGTCTAATGTAACATTTTTTGACATCTCGCCAATGAATTGCTACATTCTACGTTCACTCGATAATCGTATATGCAACAGTGCTTAATTAATCATCAAACTCTCGACAGAAAGATGCAAGAAGTTTAAATCAAAATCTGAAAATGAATACCATTGTCATTTGTATAACTCTAAAATGTCGGCGAGAGGCTATAGGATGCAATGGAAGCTATTTCGATGAACAA